TGGACATCCTGGTATGCAAGAATGCCAGAGGGGTCCTCTATACCAGCCTATACAGGAAAGATACGGCGGGTAACGCTATCCTCGAAGCAAGTAGTGCCCATCCACAAAATTTGAAGAACAGTATACCATATGGCCAATATTTAAGAGTCAGGAGGAACTGCACTATGGACACCGACTTTGAGAGAGAGGCCCAAAACTTAAGGATGAGGTTACGGGCCAGGGGATACCCGAATAAAACACTTAAAAAAGCATATCAGCGGGCAAAGGGTAGACCTAACGGACCTATTAAGAAAAATAAAGCCAAATCACGAAATAATGACAAAGAAGATTCCCTTGTGAGACTAATCTTGACCTTTAACAACCAGCACAAAGAAATATCTAGGATCCTTCAAAAACATTGGCACCGTCTGACTAAGGATCCTAGAATCTCAAAATTCTTAAGTACTAAACCCACTATTACTTACCGACGATGCCCCTCCCTTAAAGACAAACTGACGAGCAGTGACTTTTCGACTAGGAGTGGCCTCTGTTGCAAATACCCCGACACCTTCCAGTGTCAAAGGTGCAAATTCTGTCGATATGTCCAGATTGGAGCGGAGGTGACTACACCTCGGGGAAAGCGCTTCAAAGCCCGTCATTTTGTAAACTGTGAAACAAAGGGTGTTATTTATTTAATGCTCTGTAAATGTGATATGCTTTACGAAGGCAAAACGAAACGAATGTTTAAAAACAGAATCTCGGACCACCTGGCGGACATAGCAGCCAGAGATCTAAGGTCACCGATAGTTAGACACTTTGTTAACACACATAATGGACATATCGACAGACTTCGTTTCTTTGCACTGGACAGGGTCCATCAACCTAGACGTGGGGGGGATTGGGACAAATCTCTTTTACAAAGGGAATGCAGATGGATTCACCAAGTGAGTTCTCATGAGGCACCCGGGCTCAACGACATGATCAATTTCAGTTGTTATCTCGACACCTAATGACATTCAAACATTGCGCTTTCCCATTCTATATATGTTTAGATATAGCGATATAAAATAATATATTCTTTACAAATCATTGGTTTGCCATTTAAAAGTTGTAAAATTTGTGAAATACCCCCAAAGCTCCGAATTTTGATGGTTTAACAAATAGCTTAAATTATAGACCCAGGATATTGATGCAATGGGCACCAATTTATGGGTCTACATCTGTGGACCCCTTTTTGGGTGACTTTTTCCATTTATGGATACTTGTGCCCAAGGAGGGTTTGGTTCCACTTTAACACATACAGAAACAATTTGGTGATATCCAGAGGTAGCAGATGAATTCACCTGATAGTCTACTCTCCACATTCTTGAAGCCTATATGTCTCCTCACACTTTGACCTCTGGGGAGGAAAACATTCAAGGAACCTCTGCTCCGCCATTGAAGCGGACCAGTTGAAATGAAATCGTTATAAACGGATACATTTTTTTTGAAACAATCTACATGCATGTATCGCTGTGGGATATAACAAGGACTACTCCATTTCGGGTTAAAAACACAACGTGAGTACAGCTCCGTTATTCTATTTTTGATATATCACCATTTTGCCTGCACCAGAGACTTCCTGCATTTTAGGAGATTTATATATCTAAACATCCATATCATTATATTTAGGTGATTCCAGGGAAGCTTTTTTAATTGTTTTTAAATGTTTTGTATAGGTGTCTTTATGTATAAATGACTATTACATTTTGTTATATTACTTAATTAATTGTGATCTATTCATCAGACCATCTCCTTTTTGAGGGATTTCTCTTCACAGGGGACAATATATTTTTTTGAGTAGTCTATTAAAACCCTGGAGTTTGGTCAAATATATATTTTTTGGTCTCATTTAGCGTTAAACTCCTTCTTGTTCCCTTGTTTTTTCTAACCTGATTTCTAGCAGTCTTATGTAATGTGTCTACAGTCTACGACTGTCTCCTGAACAATGTCCTCAACAACTCCTTTAGCATATTCTTAATCTATGACCATCTCTTGCAGCATGCATGTAATCTCTGGTTATCTCCTGTAGCTTATATCATGAAAGTCCTGGATCAATAAATGAGTTGCAAGTTGTGTGCAGGACTTTTGTGATATATGTTACGCAGTGTGTGGGTACAGAGGAACTCTTGCCAAGCACCAGTGTTGAGTTAAGACCACTGGGTTTGTGGAAGTGGAGCAGGTATATTATTTATTTGATTTTGCATCTCCTGTAGCATGTCTGCAGACTCTGACCATCTCTTGTAGAATGCATGTATTCCCTGACCATCTCTTCTTGCACGTCCTCAATCTCTGACTGCTTTCTGTAGCGTTACATTCACTGCATATTATGTGTGACCCTTGTCAAGGGCCTCATCTGAGTAAGTAAGTTGACTAACATTATTCTAAACAGTTGTCATGGGACCAACTCTGCAATCTAGAAAACATCTAAAGATACAGATTAAAATTGAGGCTGTTTTACTTGCCCAAGGATTTGTATTTCTGCCCATCCAATCCTAAGATTTACACCGTTCTAAAACACAGTAGAGGGAAGTCTGGCAGGGCAGGAAACCCTCTGTTGCAATTAAATAACACTTCCAGGTCTTATTCTTCCTGCCTTTCACTGGACGGGAAAAGGACAAGCAGCAGACTGATCTGCTCACTTCTCCTATCAGCTAAAAAGCAAATGATCAGTGAGCACAACTTATTGGCTCCTTGTGCTTTTTTTCTGCTCCTGGTCTGATCTGTGCTGTACAGAGAATATCAAGAGGCTAATTCCAGGTCAAATATGATGTATGAATGAATATAAATCTGCATTTATGTGTCTTTAAATATATTCCAGGTATCTGCATATTTCGCCATAACTCTTTACATCATACATAAAAGAAATGGAACACGTTGCTATTATATACTGTAAGATGTCACTTTTCGAAGAATAGATCGCTCCCATTAGGTATATTACAGACATTTTGTTTACTTACAATACCCCATTTAGAGGCGATGGTGTTTAAGATTTCCTTCATCATGAATAAAAGGTTTATGAACTTTTCATCTTTGTAGTCAAAGCGTTCTCCAAACACAATAGAGCAGATGATGTTTGAGACCGCCAAATGAAGAATGTCCGATGGATCAAACAAGTTTTCTAGGAAAAGACATCAGTAATCAAATTAAAAATTCTACAGCTTACAAGATAGAGAATCAGTGAGACAAAAGCACTCGCTCATCAAAGGATTTGGAGGAGCCGTCTATGTTGTCTTTACCAACCAATCAACCAAATCTCCTTTTTACTCTTCCATCAATGGCTAGAAATTGAAAAGGAAGATTTGTTTGGCCATCCTTATACATAGAAGTAAATTAATCACATACACTACCTAACGATCTTTGGGTCAACAGAAAAAATAACCTTTGAGGAATGGGGTAGAAACATGGCTTCTGAGTCTAATATCACAGTTAATTGCATGTAAAACTGCACGACAAATATGCAAGGTCTGTGACGTTATATTGTACACTTGTGCCAGGGGGGCCCGCTGACCGCTGGGTACCGATCCGGCGCTGGGCCCCCTAGAGCCCCAAGGCCCTGGTGCGTCCGCACCGCCTGCACCGGCGGTAGTTCCGCCACTGTGTGCCCGTGTCCAATGCATGAAGTTCCCATGCCATTTATTTTAATCTAACAAATGTAATTATGTATTTAGTGTGCAGTTAATGTGGAGCAAAATAACAGGTTCACTTTAATCCCATCTTCCTTAAACATACACAGTCACCTTTCCTGCCGGCTGTGAAAAAGCAATGAGCTGTGAGGGAGTGCTGGTAAGGTGAGTATATGGGGAGTGGGGGTTTTCCAGCGACCCTGCATGGGCAAGGTGACAATGTCTCATAACCCCTTTGTGACAACAAGACACCTTTTTAGGTTTAAATATATAAAAAATGCCCCATGTCCTAAGAGGAATATTTAACCTTTCAACGGAAAACTAGAAATACACAGCTGTGTGTGTTCTTCATTCTCAGACCTAATGTCAAACTAAAAATAAGTCTTAGTTCCTGTTCACACTAAGGCTTTAGTCGCTCAAAGGTAAGCGTGACATAATGCTATGCTGTAGGCAAGGAATCCCATTCAATTCTATGGCCTTTGTTCACACCTGAGCCCGTCACTGGAAAACTGCCAGTCACTGGAAAAAGTACATACGCTACTTTTTGGCATATTACAGCACTTTTTGGTCACATAGATTTCAACAGGAACAAAACACTCAGGTCTGAATAGGGACCATATAAATAAATGGGATTCCTTGTCTTGAGAGTTTTGACGCACTTAGGTCCCGCGCCTAGGGGTGAATGGAGCCTAGAGTTACTAAAGTTAACTAACACACCAACACTGTTAAACTGGGTCTGGGCATCTAAACTTCATAAAACTTTGGTCACAAAAGGTTTAACTATGCCTAAAAATGTGAGCAAGGCCAAGAACTTGCTCTGACATTACATTAGTGCATAACCATGTCCTGTGTGTCTAAGCTCGACTGATAGGCTGTTATTAGAATGAGATAAAAGCATTAAAAAGTATGGAGCAGTACCAAGCTGGGAGAACAGTAGGTTTATGTAATTAGAAAAAATGGCTTTCCCTTATACATACATAATTACAAACTATAAATATCTTTACCAACCTCCATTTTTCTTGAATTCCTCCACCAGAAAATGGGCCTCTTCCTGGATCCGCTCTGCAATTCCTCTTTTTCCCATGCCGAAATTTCTCAGGGTGGTCAGTGAGAATCGGCGTAGCTGTTGCCAGCGTTCCCCATTGCTCAGTACTACTCCTATAGAGTAAATTGTTTTTGAATAAATTAATCAATGAGTGTTAAAATGGAGCAAATGTTAACATAAAGTTTTGTTAAGAGACTTACTGGGATGGAAAAATACAGAATAATACAGCAAGTGAAATGTTTACCTTTATATCACCAGCTGCTGCTCCAGGTTCCCTTCAGTGCTGATCACATTTGTGATGACCAAGGTACCTAATCACATGACTGATGAGAGGGATCTGGTATTTAACTACCAAAAGTGTTATCTGGCACTAAAACTTTTATAATATATCCTAATTAATTGTGAAACAAATCTGTTTTTTACCAATCATATTTGGCATATAAGATTTTAATGGTCAGCATAACTGGGGGCATGGCAGGGGTCTATCCATTGCCTTAATACATTACATTGGGGGGTACACCTCTTTCTTGGACACTTTGTAAATAAGCAAACAAATACCCAAAGATATCCAACAATACTGTGCAGGACCGTAGCTAAAGTTAAGGGGTCAGTCCATGAAAAAGCTGATATTTCAGATTTTGTTAGATGCTGGAGATTTCACCCATCTGACATTTTTTTTTATGTCTCTGACTTGTTCTGCACAACTACTGTGCCCATTATGAAGGACTCCCACTCTCCCTGTTGATTTTTTTTTTTTTATTCTACTGTACGGTATATTGTGGAGAATGCAAAAGGAAGAGCAGGAACACACAATGGTGGATAGGTACATCCAATACTTCCAGGTGACATGAACAGAGTCAAACCTTATAGCAGGGACATTTTGTTTTTGTAGTATGCAAGCCATTTAAGAAGGCTGGGCCTGACTCATCATTCCTAGCTCTATGTAAAATATTACTATGGTGGTTTCATCATTTACTAAAATCACTTCAGTTTTGCTACACGCACACAATTTATCTCTTGATCACAAGGTAATATATGTAAGAGACTATATTCCGGGTTCCTTACCATAATCTTTTAACATTGCCTTGGCAAAGAAAGTATTTCCTCTTGTGCTGAACACATCACTGTGATCTATCAAAGCTTCCCTTACACAATCATAGCCAACCAAGACCACCATTGGTTCATTGCCAATGTAGATGGTGAGCACAGGTCCATACTTTTTACTCAGCTGAAAAGAAACAAAAGTGTGTTATATATATAAGAGGACTTCTGTTTGGCTTTGTCATGAAACTTAAAAGCTCAAAAGACAAAGACAAACTGCAGTGTGTTTTAGGCAATCGCGAGTGACAGAGATTACAAAAAGTAGAAGAGAGTAATATAGCAGCATGTATTGTGTGATCCAATGTCTGTAAACAATTGAACGTTCTCATGTCTTATTGGCAAAAGTAAAGAATCACCAGCAAAAAAACAGGTTCAATACTTGTGGTGATTTTTAAAGTGGATCTGTGGACAAAATTTTTAGGTTTGGATAGAGTAAAGAATGGTTCAAGCCCCCCACACCCCTCTCACCTTTTTCTGTTGATTGTTTCAGACTGGGGATCTTCCCCTTCACCTCCTGCCCTGTGGACAGTACAGGACTAGAAGGGAAATCTGTAGAACCATAGGGGTAATCCCCTCTTAGACAGCTGTTGCCATAACAGCACTGTCCACCTTGGAAGATTACTCTATTCCTGTCCTGGTAACAACTTAGTGTTTGCCAAATATAATGGTGCTTTACTACAGTAATAAAAAAAATTCTGATAACTTTTTTATAAAATACATGAGTACAGCAATTGTGGTTAATTGACATGTTTAATAGATTTATGTTTTATTTTTCAATAATAATAAAAAGTAATTTACTATGGTATATATGGACATAAAGACCATCAGGTCTCCTAAGACAAGAGCTGTCAACCAACAGGAGACAGATCAGAAATAAGAGGATCAAGCTAATCGGGTAAGGTAGTTCTGTCTAACAACTGTACACAGGCATGGTCAGGGATTGAGAGAAAGGGCATTGAATTAAAAGAGAATTATGGCCCAACCTTGTTTTGCCATAGTTTTCTTTAGGATCACAGGAGGACATATACTAATGTCCTCCTGTGACCCAAAAGTTAGCATATAGCAGGCTTTTGCCCGCTATATGCTGACAGTGCAGAGCCGCGCTGCAGCCGGGATGAATTCTGACAAAATTAACGGGATCCACCCTGCTGCCTGATCCAGCCCCATCTGTTCCTCAGCGCTGGAGGAATAGAGAGAGGGGGGATCCCTGTGGGGTGCGGTGACTGACAGACAGGATTTAGGTCTCGCATCTTCGACAAACCCACTGTGGATTGGAAATTAAGTTCATATTTAGTTAGCCTTCCAGAAGAGAAATGTCTAGTGTGGGCATATGTTAAAATTTTGAGTAAATAAAGTGGATGTGGCACCTGCTTTATAGCAAAATGGTAGGCCTTGTGCCACAGGATCTTATTGATAGCTGTAATAAGCCAGTGGCTGCAGTCTATCATGGATATGTTATAAAAGGACCCCCGAAGCAAACCCATCTTATTCACAGTAAAAGAGAACCAAAGTTTGGGGCCCGATTTTGACTTTCTGAAAGGTGGTTTCTCATTGTGCAGTCCATGATATTATTATGGTTTTGATTCTTACAGCATGGGATATAGATTTTAATACTTATTGCAGTGGGTCCATAAGCTTCCAATAATTCAGCATCTATTGTCTACATTTACCAGTCAAACCCAAGAAAGTTTTCAGATGGATCATACTTTAGGGTAAAGTCATACTGACAATTGCCTTTATGTGGAAATAATTATTATTATTATACAGGACAATTTGTGTAGCGCTTTACAAAATGGAGGAGACGGTACAGTTACAATACAATTTACAATACAATAAAAATTGTCAGTACAATAGGGTTAGGAGAGCTTACAATCGTGAGAGCTTACAATCTAGTAGGAGATAAATGTCTATGTCCTCTTAAATGGCCAGTGTATTGCACATATGTGCACAAATATCCCAGGGTCTCTTGCTGCTCCTGGGAATGGCAAAACGTTATCATAATTGCGAGTAAAGAAGGATCAGTGAACATCCATTTACTGATCCTTCCTCTGTGAAGTGAGCACTTCCAGATTCAAGGCTGCCAAATCGTGGCCAGCTGTGGTCGGAAGAACAGCAGATCAGGGACTCTTCATCTTCAGTCTGCTTAGTCTCACCATTTATTACTATAACATAGGGGTTTGTCAGCCCCCTTGTGATAGTAATAAAGTTAAAGTATATCTAACTCCTAAGAACAAAAATGTACTACAATGCAGCTTGCAAATCCTTAGATGTGGTACAGCCTTAGTTTCCTTTTTAAGTCTAAGAGGGTTATTCACTGAGGAGCGAAAGGATCCAGCCATAGCGTCAGCTGATCCTTCAGCTCACTTCAGCCGCTGGAGTCCTTCGGTTAATTTGAACCGAAAGGCTGCTGTATGGGCTCGTATAGCCCATAGGCGAATGTCTCAGTCTACCTAAGCGCCATTGCTTTGGCTCAGCTGAGCCATAGTTTCAGCCAAAGCATGGCGAACGGTCTCCTGAAGCAGACCGTCCTCCCCGCAAATGACAACAGCTGGGTGGAGCCAGCCGAGATGTCAAGGCTGGCTCCGCCCAGTTGTTGTACTGTAATGACAGATCAGCACCCCCAAATTACCCGGGAAGCTGATTTGTCATTAAGCAGCAACAACTGGGCAAAACCAGGCCTGACGTCACAGCTGGCTACTCCCAGTTGTTTTCATTTGCCCAGGACCTGCTCAAAAACTCTGGCAGAATAGTCGAGCCGTGGCATCCGGCTATTCACTCACTACTGGTACATACTGGTACTTTGTGGGTAAAAGCTCCAGGGGAGTTTTTTTTTTTTTAATACCAAAGATACAGATAACAAAAATGTACCCCTAGTCCACAACTAAGCTTATTGATTATCAGTACTTTAAATACTGCATCTTGTAGAGTGATACAGTCAGCAATGTGCATTCCATTTCCTTTTGCCTACTATCATATCTCTTACTTGACAGAAGACATAACATTCCATTTTCTCCACCATAAAACATAGCACAGGGGTGGAGACGTACACACCACAGTGTAGGTTAAAATGTCAGACTGGAAAGTCGAATTTTACAAGTTCTTCTCCTTAAATACACATATATTCTACACATACAAAACAAATGCTACATATCTAATAGAATACAAAAAAAACAACAACAAATTGAGGCATTTTGCTTAAAAACAATGTCTATAAAATTTAAGTTGTCACATTTTCAGTTGCAGCATGCAAAAAAAAAGAGAGAGAGACAAAAAATGTATACACATTTTAAGAAAGGAAAAACTGTATTAAAATTGTAATACCGATGCCGATAACAAATAATGAATACAAGTCACGTTTGACTGCAATTACAAGAGGTGCTCAACGTGGTCCCCACAAACTGCTTATCCTCTCGTACCATGTTCTTTGAAAAGTAATACATAGATAGCATCTCCTAAAATGTGTATGCATTTTTTTGGTGCCCCCCGGTATATATATACATATAAGATGAGAAGGTTTTTTGGAACTACAGCTCCCAAATCTGCTTAGAATTCTTTAAGTGTTCTTCTTAACTTACCTTTTTTAAAGACTGGTGCATTTCTGTGGTGCTCATATGTAGAATTGTGCCTAACAGGGGCAGTGTGGGTGGCCCAGGGGGTAGATTTCTGCTCCTAAGCTTCTTCTTCCATGAGAAAAAATATACAATAAGACTGACACAGACAGCTAGAGCTATAGAGCCCGTTACTCCCAGCTCCATTTTCCCTCATGAACACACTGAACACAGGAAGTATTATGTATGCAACAGTGAACCTCCCACCATTCTTAGATGAGGAAGAGGGAGGCTGTAAAAAGCAAAGTATATAGGCAGAGAACACTCCCCTGCCATGTCCCTAGTTACGCAGACCATGAAAAATGAATACACAAGTAATAGTATACACATACAGTATATACACAAGTGCTTCTTTCACTGCTGCTTTCTCTTTTTTTCAAGCTTTTTAAAGTAACAAATGCAATCATTTACAATAGCATTTCTCAACCTTTTTTTTTTTCATGGCACCCTTTAAAAGTATGTAAAATCTCTAGATACCCCAGAAGTGTTGGTTTCTTAGGAGAGTTCAGGGGACCATTTTACAACAGTGCAATGAGGTCAATATTAGGGGTTTATTCACGACGACGGCTGATCCTTCGGCTCGCTTTGGCCGCCTGAGCCCTACAGTTCAGTGGAACCAAAGGGCTGCTGTACGGGCTATTCACAATAGCCCGTACACCATCCGAGTGGCTCAGCCGAGCCGCACGCATATGCTTTGGCTCGGCTGAGCCGTAGTGACAGGAGAAGCATGGAAAAAGGTTGGCCGAAGGGCGGAGCCAACCGGGATCTCACGGCTCGCTCCACCCAGTTGTAATGACAGATCAGCATCCCCAAATGACCTGTTGTCATTAAACAACAACAACTGGGTGGAGCCAGCTGGCAGGTCCTGGCCAATAGTAAACAGTTAGGTGGAGCAAGCAGTGATGTCACCGCTAGCTCTGCCCAATTGTATTTATTTTACCGGAATCTATCAGATGCTTCATTATGCAGCGGGAGTTCGTCGCATCTGGTCGGGTCGCTGTGTGTCTTATTTTTCATAATTTTTTTCCCCTTTTCTTTAAAATATCTTATTTTTTTCCTATTTTTTTTACATTTTTAAAATAGTTTTTCAACATTTTTTTCCACTCATTTAACTTTTTTTCTATTCTGCTCACTACCTCAGATACAGCTGTATGTGCAGGCCTTTTCTCGTGTGAATGAGGCCTTGTGTGTGTCCATTTTCTACATCTACTTGAAACACCTATTGACAAACGTCAGGTGGTCATAATAAACTGGCCACTCAGTGTATATTCCACACACAAATTCAAACCCCCTCTTTTAGACATGATATAAACTCTGTATTCAAATTAATTTCATGTGCCATTGCTTATTTTTTATATAATATATTTATTTTGGTTTTCTGCTTTCCTTGGTGCATGTACATTTAATTGCTTAACATTCTGCTTTCTTTCATTTCCAAGGAAATGTTGTCAAGCGCACCTTATCAGGCACAAAGGCACCATTATTTAGATGGTCAATGCGCAGAGCAAACTATGACTGCACCGCACACATTGAACATCAGTGTACATTTTGCTACATAGGTTCAGAGTTTCCATTCGCTTTGCACATGTATATTCATAAACTCATGCAAGCCCAGAACCTACATGTCTTCATCCTCCCTGTTGTCATTTCCTCTTTTCTTCACAGATGTTTTTTCTTTCTAATGCAGAGGGGTAGACCAGTGTTGAATAAGCAGATCTTGCATTTGAGTGCAAGGTCAGCTTTAATTAGCATTTAGACACTCTTTATGATACCCTTATTTTTGTTTTTCTTTAATACTTTTCACATGAAGCACTTTGGGAATACTTTTTTGTTTTTATAGTTTATTCGTTTTCATAATTAATATTATCAAACATGTATTACAAAAAAAGAAAATGTGTGGTGTGTGTGGATAAAACAAACTTAGAATACATATATTTCTATAGGACATAGATTCTCAAATGTTTTCAATTTCATCTTTTTAATGGTGTCATGATCTCAGTTCCACATACAGTTGGTACGATCTCACTATAACACCATTTTTGCCGGGTTCTGGGGTTATTTCAATATCCTTTAGAGCTTTGTTTGTCTTCAGATTTAACTTCTGCAGTATGGCAGTAAGGAAAAGAAAGATCTCCATTCGGGCCAGACCCTCTCCTACACAACTTCTTTTTCCTGTGGTAATAAAAAATTTTGTTATAAAGGCTGACCATCATTCGTGGACATAATGTGTATCTGTCCTGAGGGGAAATGCCTCTGACCTCCTCTAACCTCACCTTGTAAAACACAGGGGCAAACATACAATATATACAGACTTTGCAACTGCATAAGGGCCCCCTGGGGTCAACTTTTACTAGATGTGGGACTGATGAGTGATAGCACCCCTCCACTGTCACAAAGACTTGGACATGGCTTACGTCTATCTACAGTAGCTGTCAATTGACACAGTGAAGAGGTCTTTTTTCTTGCCAAATAGTTGAATGGGGCCCCCAAATTCATCTTGTACAGGGGCCTCTTGGTGACTATCTGTCATTGGTAGTATATGTAATCCTTCCACTTCGCTAGAGGTTATTGACCTAGAACAAATGTATAGCTTAGGACTTCCAATTCCCAAAACCAACTTTCCCACAGGACAAGATCATGGCGCGATCAACAGGGTTTTTTTTTTATACACTCTTATCGAACAGATATAAGATACAATTTACCTTCTGCTCAAGCACATGGACAGTATATTGAAGATTGATTTTTACAATGGAGGAATTTAAATTGTTCACCTAAATTACTTCTGCAGGGCACACTGAGGTGCATTGTGCTGAGGTAGCCAATTCTTTTTGAACTGGCTCTCAAATATACACCTGCACTATTTTATGAAATCGTACACCACAGCACATAAACTCTATATGTGTTATAGTGTGCTGTAGACCAGGTGAATTTTTCCCTACTGTATATGTGAGTTGGGGTGGCATTCAGAGTGAATAGCAACACACCACAACACACATACTGTATATCCTGGCATTACATTGTGCAATAATCCAAGGCGTGGAGTCGGCTATAAGCTCTAATCACAGGAATTATACCAAGAACTTAAAATTCCAGTAGACGGTTGGAGAATAAGTGCTATAAACCTCACAAAGACCTCTACACTCTGTGCAGGTTCAAATCACAAGGTGGTAGACTATCCTTATTATTTATTGATTGAGAATGTTTATAAATATAATATCAAATAAATGTTTTGGTATTTTACCAATGGAAAATGGTATGAAGGCCTCATTGTTCTTGAATTGTTCATTTTCATCCAAGAAGTGTCCAGGGTCAAACTGGTCTGGGTGTTTAAAATATTTAGGGTCCTTTAGGACAGAAGAAATCAGTGGGGAGACTGTTGTACCCTAAAATGTAAGAAATAGCAAACATTACTAACAATAATGCATACACAAACAACCCAACACAAATATCATTTCATTTAACCATAATTGTTCCTCTTTTTGGTCTGATGTACAGATATATATTAAAAGGTTCTATTTAACTACCAAAAGTGTTTTTCTACACTAAAACCTTTATCTGATTGCTTAATCATCTTATTTGCAATTTCAAAATATACATTTTTAATGGTCGCATAACTGGGAGGCATGGTGGGGGGGTGTCTATTGCCTAAATACATTGTGCTGGAAGATGTCCCTCTTAGTCATTAGTGATGACCCGAACACCCCCCCTGTTCGGTTCAAATTCGAACTTTCGAACATGGAAAAAGTTTGAATTCGAACTCGAACTCAATGCAAGTCTATAGGGGTAGAACTTTGAAAATTAATTGACCCCCATTTTGAAGGCTTATTTGTAAGTTAATGGCCATAAAAAGGGTATGGGGATTTGGGTACTGCCCTGGGGGACATGTATCAATGAAAAAAAAACTTTAAAAAAATACAGTTTTTAACCACTTGCCGTCCGCCTGTTGTAAAAAAACGGACGGACGGACGGCACTGCAGCATTGGTGGGTTGCCGTCTCCAGGCGGCATTTTTTTCTGCTTGCGCGCGCCCCCTAGAGGGCGCGCACGGGCGGAAAAGACCCGACCAATGTAAACACCCGTTACTGGGTGTTTCACATATAGACGATCGGCGGCAACATAGCCCGCCAATTGTCTATATGTGCTCGTTCCCCCCCGACCCCTCACCTTCAATCCCGGGATCTGCTGCCCCATCTGCGGCCCGGGATCGGGTCGGGAGGCCGTCAGGAGGAAGAGGAAGGGAGATCATCTCCTTGCTGACCTCCCTCCGAGCTTTGAATGCAGAAGTGATGTGTGTTACATCACTTCCGCATTCACCTGTCAGTCATCTGGCTGCTATAGCCAGAGACAAGAAGCTGATGAAGCAGATCTCTGCTTCATCAGCTTCTTTTTGGGTCCACAGGTGACATTAGGGGTCCTAGGGACCCCTAATGTCTTCATAAAGAGGACCTGTCAGTGTGCCTTTGCTATTATATAGGGAGATTGTTATCCCCCTATACTGTATAATAGCAATAACACTAAGTGCAAACAAAATAAAAAAATAAAAGTCACATAAAAAAGTAAAATAAAATAAAAGTCACATATAAAAAAAGTAAAAAAAAACCCCAAAATGTTTAACTCCCCCACCCCCACGTTTACGCAGATATAAACGTAAATACGCGTCCGGAGCACCAGCGCGCAAAAACGACAATTGCGCTACACACGTTACATATCGCTGCGAACGTCGCAGTGAGAGCAATCATTTTAGGGCCATCAATCACTAATAACACTAAACTGATTGTGTCCCCAAGGCCAATTTGGGTATTTTCGTTTTTTGAGGTTTCACGCGCGCACACAATTTTAAGGCTTGACATGTTTGGAGTCTTTTTACCCGACGTGACCCCGTCTTTTATATTTTACCAAAAAATTGGGTAATAATAAATGTTTTACCATTTAATATAGTTGAAACAGTTTTTTTTTTATTTTGGTAATTTTTCCTTAATATAGTAAAAAATAAAAACCCCAGTGGTGATTAAATACCACCAAAAGAAAGCTCTATCTGTCCCTAAAAATGGTATAAAATCAATTTCAGTACAGCATTGCATGACGGAATAAATGTCAGTCAAAGTACCGCAGCGCTGAATACTGGAAAATGGCCTGGATGGGAAGGGGGTTTAACACAGCGGATGTCAACTGGTTAAAGGAGCAATGATTTTAACATCACTTAAAGGGATGTTAAAGGGATGTTAAAGGGATGTGCCTGGGTGGGTTCCCTTAAACTGCCTGTAAAGTGGTACATCTGTACAATGTATAGAACCTGCAGCAGCAAAAAATTACATTCATAAAGAAAAAATTACGTTTAAAAATATTTTTTTTAAATTGTGCGGTTCCCCCTCCCAAACAATAACAGACCCTTTAGGTCTGGTAGGAATGTTAGCAGGGACCCCATTTTAAAAAAAAAGCATGGGTTCCCCCCAAAAGTCATACCAGAGCCTTAAGTTCTGGTAGGAATTTTAGGAGGGACCCCATGTAAAAAAAACAAAAACAAAAGTGTGTGCGATTCCCCCTTCAAGTCATACCAGGCCCTTAAGGTCTGGTAGGAACTTTAACTGCCTCCGGGCCGGCCGTAGAGGAAGGGGGTCTAAACACCTGGTCTTGAAGTGGTTAAGGAGGAACCCCACCCCCAAAAATTGGGGAAAAAAGATGTGGGGTCACCCCTAAAATTCCATACCAGACCCCTGATCTGATCACAGGCCTGGCAGGGCAGGAAAGGGGGGGGGGATGAGTAAGAGGCCACATGCCCTCAGCACTGGGAGGGTGCTTTTCTAGGGTCACCTCTGGAAAATCACCTTGATCCGTGCTGATGGGGACAAGGGCATCTTCCCCACAAGCCCTGGGGCTTTGGTTGTGGGGGTGTGGGCAGGGGGCTTATTCACATCAGGGTAACCCTTTAATAAAGGGGCACCCAGATGCGGTCCCCCTTGTGAATGAGTAAGGAGTACTTGTACCCATACCCATTTACTAAAGGGTTAAATGAAATTGTAAAAAAAAAGGTCAGACAATCCATTATTTGAAAAAAAACAAAACAAAAGACAAGTTTTTTACAAGTCTTTTCTTAAAAAAAAAATGGATTCACCGATGTTAACCAGCATCAATCACAACGTCCAGCGTTGTCCGCAACGACGACGACTCGACGAAATAAACAATAAAATATAAATGGAAATAATTTTTATAAATTACGACCACCGTCCCGTCTGCTTGTGACGAACACCCGCCGCAGAATGGTATTTTGACAGATGCCGGCAACATATAAACAACCTGGCTGAGCTAGCAGTGACAGCTGGCTCCGCCCAACTGTTTACAGTTGTACGCCATCTGACAGGTGAGCCATGATTGAGCAAATTCATCATGACTTTGCCCAATCATGGCTCTTACATTACAAACATGGGCCCTGATTGGGCAAAGTCTTGCACCTGACCTGTGGTCAGGTGCAAGGCTTTAGCCAATTAGCTATCAAAATACCTGAACAATCTGATTGGATGCATGGATTGTTCAGGTGTTTTGAGAGCCAGCGGGGCTGACTAGCAAGATACTGAAGCTTGGCCCAGTGGGAGATTCCTCCATCCACACAGTTTAGTGTAGATGGAGGAATCTGTTGCACTTTTTCCATCTGATTATAGAAAATCTGCAGATAATCTATAGGTGTATTGCCAGCTTTATTCAGCAATGGCATGCTAAGTAGGGGGAGTGGTTAAAGTTATGTAATTGTCTCTAAGAGAAAATGACATATTTAACTAGAACCCAAACACAGTAAGTGTTTTGGACCTGACATGCTAACAGTTCTTCAGTCTGGCTTGCTATTTGCCATATTGGAATGTAATGGTCAGAGGTCTTTTTTTAAACACAGTGCTTAGAGAAGGGCAGTAACTAAGAAGTTTTGGAAGGTAAACTACACAACGCTTCTAACCTTTGGAATGTTGTATCCTTGGAATACTGTATCTTTGCTGGCTGAGTGTGGAATTCCCAAGGGAACTATGTCAGCAAATCTCTGGATTTCATGAATCACAGCATCTGTGTATGGCATCCTAATACGATCCTCCATTGAAGGAGATCGACTTTGCCCTATGACGTTGTCTATCTCCTCCTGCATCTTTCCTGTACAGACAAAGAACAAAGCAACATTTGTAAACAAAGCAAATATAAGGTATGTGTTTTTTTTACATTAACATGTAAATTAAGCAATTTGTTCATTTTAAGGTGATGGCCGTGTAGTTATCTATGGGGCTGCCTCCAAAAATACGGATAGAGGTTATTTTGTGAGTTTATAGAACACAGAGCATACAAGTGCTACAGATACATCTTAAGACTCATCCCTTCAAGGAAGCCTGTCCTACCTCACCCTAACCACTCAACCATCACGTTCTCAAACAATTCATCCCTACAAAGCTACCTCCTCATGTATTACTTGCCCCTCCCTTTTAGATTGTAATCCCTCAGGGGCAGGGCGCTCTTTACCATCTTGTTTTGAATTGTATTGTGATTGTAATGTCTTCCTTATATTGTAAAGCACTGCACAAACTGTTGGCGCTGTATAATAATAATAATAATACAAATGCCACTAATGACAGTCAGGACAAATGTAAGGGTCACAACTACAACAGAGATGTTCTGTTATGTTAAAAAAAAACTTGAGGCCAAGATTAGTCTCTAAAGTGTTCTTTTTCTCCAAAGAAATATAACGTTCACCTCACGTACACTATTTCGGTTTATTAGCCAGTCATATATGAATATCACAACAATGAAATATGTTTCAGTACGCTTAGATCTTATTCCACAGTTTTTTGTCAGTAAAAGAGCTGTTGCCACAAAAACTAGAAACATTTTTTTACTCTTTATTGCTGTATTTGACCCCAAAGAAAAAAATTCCCCTGTCTTGTTGTGTGGTCATTTGCAGAGAATGTAAGGGTAATTTCTCCAACAGGGACAGATAGTAAAATTGTCCTGTTGGAAAGCATTAGAACTTCTACCAGTTTTTTTTACTTCTGTCTGTGTCACTGTTGGGGAGCTTCCTGTCACTTTCTGTATGGTCATGAGTATAGGAAGTGAGAAGAAACCTCTACAATATGTGCAAAGACAGTAGCTTGATCCCTCCACACTCCCTCCAAAGCTAAAAACAATTCTAGTTATTGTTGTCCTCAGAGTGTTAAATGTGCATTTTCAATGCAAGATGTCAAGGTAAATGTCTGAAAAGGAATGTAATTTGCCTTTTTTTTATGGTAAATGCAGCTGGGAAGCTGGACTTCTCCTGCACCCTTGTAGACAGTGATGGAGTTGGTGGGAGGGTCTGAGCAGGACATAATTTCTCTAACCTTTGGCGAACAGCGATATGCTGTCAATCTAAAGAAATGTGGGCAAACCTAGATGTGGCTATTTACCAACATCTAAGAAGTGCCAAATGCCAACATCTGAGAAGCTACAGCAGCAGCAAGGATGAAAATACTGCAGTGATTTTACTGCAAAGGGAAGGGTGTTGTCACCTTATTAAAGGAAGTGCCTATCCTGTGGTTCCACTGGTGTTTCCAAAATATTCCAGAGGGTGCTTAGAAAAAAAGTTCCCAGTATTACTTGAGTAGCCCCCATCCTCTATTGTGAGGTGGCTGCTAGAAATTTAGGGGTCTATTTACTAAGCTGCCGTAACAGCATCGTGAATTGCCAGAGCTGTATTCAGTCTGGCAGAATTATAGTAGGCTTTTTTTGGTTAATTCCAGGTGTTCAGTCACTGATTGTACCTGCCAGAGTTGACTCTGCTGCAGTGTGGGACAGCCAATGGGGAACACTGTCAGTGTGTGGGCAGTTCAGCAGCCACTCACTGGGGCTCTCTCAACCAGTGTTGCGTGCTGGGTAAGTGCTTATATACTCGAGGGAATTGCCATGTGCTTAGTTCTGGCCGGCTCCAGCCATGGATTAATCCAGGTTGGGGTGCTGTCTGGAGATGCTGAAGTGTGGGAAGAGTTTCCCTAGGCCTCAAGGATAGAAGAGGCCTGTGCTGTTGTCAGAGGAGGAGAACCAGGGAAGCTGATGGCTGCTGGAGGTGCCTGGAACATAGAGGACCTCAGGAACAAGTCTGTTGTCTCTCCTGCTAAAGATTTGTGATAATCCCTGTTGATCTGCTACTCAAATATCTATTCACTGTGCTGTAAATTGGATCTACACTATGGTTTTGTTCCTAATGATAGCCTTTTAGATTGTAAGCCCTCACGGGCAGGACCCTCCTTACCATCTCATCTTGAATTGTATTGTGATTGTAATGTCTTCCTTATATTGTAAATTGGATAGAAGGGGAAATCCTCTGCACACCTTGCAGCAATCCAGGCCTATGTAGACAATGGTGCTTGTAGTGATGAACACGGATGGCACCGTGCAGACACAATGTAGGAAGAGGAATCACCAGCACTCAGTAGAATAATCCAACAAGTCCATTTATTGGACATAGACGTCACACTATCACAAGAGCCAACGTTTCAAAACAGGTTCGTTGGACCAACGTTTCGTTGGACCAACGTTTCGTTGGTCTCGAAACGTGCTGGTGATTCCTCTTCCTACATTCCTTATATTGTAAATCGCTGTGCAAACTGTTGGCGCTATATAAATCCTGTATAATAATAATTGCTAAGAAGGGACTGGTGAGTCTGTCTGTCTGTTATACCCTGGATGTCTAGGATCCCTATACCCTCTCTCCCAGTGTGAAGATGTTCATAAACGTTCTTAAGCATTATACTTTTGGAGTGGATATCAGCTTTGTGGGCACTAGAAGAGGGCGGTTAAATGCTAATGGGGCAGCTGAATACCAAAACCTCTAGACCAGTGGTTCTCAACTAGTGGGTCGCGACCCAAAAGTGGGTCGCGACACCCTCTGCAGTGGGTCGCAGCGTCATGTCTGCATAGGCCGGCCCATCTGCATTAGAGAGAACTAGAGGGGGAATTTGTGGTTCAGCCTGTGGAACCTCATAATGTCAAACTGTCCCCTCTCTCCCGGCCTCCCCCGGGCTCTCCGATAAAGTGGTATGGCCCGGGGAGAGAGGGGACTATTTCCTCACTTTCGGGCCGGCGCATTGATATCAGGGGCCGCGGCGCCCGACAATTAAGTTATAGTTCCGGTCTGCACTGGAGAGTACAGCAGATATCAATCCACCGCTGTATCTACTGTACTCTCCAGTCCAGATAGTTCAGTCGGCTGGAATCAGAGAAAGGTAGGCAGACAGGGAGAGGTGTCCCATGTATATTGCTGAATACTGCACACGTTGTTTTGTGTAATAAATTAAAATGTTTCAGAAATGAAATCATTTTTGGGTCACGCCTTAATGATCAAGGAAACATGTGGGTCCCGAGGTTACACAGGTTGAGAACCACTGCTCTAGACCAACTAGTGATGACTTTGAGTTAAGAGTAGTGCATTGTAGATCAGAAGAGGTTTGCTCAAGGGTCTTATTGTCCATTTTTAGTCACTCTCTTCTTCCACCTTCTGCTGTGCTTGACAAGTTTTAGACACTAAATAATATAAGGAAATATAATGTTGCTTACTTGCCACATCTGGGTGCTTGAGCAAGATGAGAAGAGCACATTTCAAGGTGGCACTGGTTGTTTCAATGCCAGCATTAAAAAGGTCCATTACTGTCCCGAATAAGTTCTCAAAATGAAATTCAGTTTTTGGCTTGCTCTTTTCCTGTGGATTTTAAGATTACATATTTTTATATTCTACCAGAGAAGAACTCCAGCCATAACTATTTTATTTTTAGTTTTAGGTACAGTGGAAAAGAGTTAGAACTTCTGTTTTGATCCCTCTGTGAACCTGTTGGGAAGAACTCACATTACTTTCTTTTCAGTAAACCAAACAGGAAGACAGTGAAGGAGTAACTGAAAACGTCCCCAAGAGTGTGGAGAGCAAAAAAGACTGACAGAAGCTCTATCCCTTTCTTGCTTTATCAAAAACTAATAAAAAAGTTCAGCTGGCACTCTACTTTAGATATAACAGTGCAGAATAACCAAAAAAAGAATCATCACCTCTTCCATCTTTATGAGAAAGCTGTCAATGAAGTCCCGTGGGCAGTTCATATCAATAGTCTTCTTATGATGATCTACAGACTCCATAATAAAATCTTTCATCTTGTTAAAGTTCCTGAAGATTTTCTGATGGGGACCGGGTAAGTAATATGATGGTGTGGGAAATAAATTTACCAACTGTGAAAACAGAAGTTTGTTTTTTTAAGTTGAGATGAAAATGCGAATTCCTTACAGCATGCCAGTGCAAGACAACTAGAAATGGAACCTTGTAACTGTTAAATTATGGTAACTCCTTGCTCCCAGAATGTGAAAGATAGACAGGTCTGAACAAAGAATTGATCTGTTCTCATTATCTAATGGGAGCTTTCCCCAATTCTCAGGCATTTTCACACTTAGCAAACATTTTTCAGCGTATCAGGCCCTATACAGCATGTTAGCTGTATTGACTACATCAAGTGATTTTAGCAGTTCTAGTTTAATAACAATATACTAATTTTCAGTTAGGTAGAAGTTCTTCCGTTGAAAGAAACCACATTACTCACCAGATTTTTACTTTTGTTAAAAATGAAATATGCGGGCACTTATGTGAATATTGTGATCACTACACTGCACATGTATCACTTTGTTTTGTCTGATGAAGGAGAACCAGATGCATTCCGAAATGTTGCTACACTTGCTGATGTAACTGTACACATGGAATAAAAAGAACTTTGCTTGGAGAACCTTTGGAGTGCTGGTGACTTACTGTTTCATTTATCTGATCCAGGGCCCCCCCCCATTGAAAGTTGGGGCATTTTCAGTCAGGAGTGCGGTGGGATCCCCTACATGACTGTAGTCAAAAGCGTTCAGAGGTTAGAGGCTTTCCCTATTTAAGGACTACAATTGCACACTGTGCACTATTCTGTTTAGTTTCTCTAAGCACTTTTTGGTGTGTTTGGTTTTCTTATGAGGAATTGAGTCAACAAAAGGCAAGCAGAGGGCAAAGGACTAGTCACCAGTATTGCCTGTGGTCTCCCTGCAGCTGAGCTTCACCAATACTGACCTACAATGTCTTGATCTGCATGGTGTGAAAGTAAACATCTTGGTAAAGGCAGGGCTTTGCTTTGTCAGAGTACCCAGCAAGAAGAACAGTGAGAAGCACAGTAGCATCACCAAATGTTACTTCAAATATCCTGAGACTAGCAATCAGAGGCATCAGTGACTTAGCGCTCAAAATACAGACAAAAGGCTGTAGGGACTAAAGTGTCTAGGTGCCCTCAGATAACAGGAAGTGCACTGCTATTTATAAGGTGGATTTCAGGAAAAAAGGTAGATTTTTAGAGTACTGTTTAGACACACTTAACATTTTTAGATGCTCTTTTTTAGTTCAGGTCCACTCTAAAGAGAACCTGTAGTAAGAAAAGTATATAGGAAGTAATTGTTGATATCCAAATAATAATACTAGTTGTCTATATGGCAGCATATCCGTTTCTCTATTGATAGGTTTCTTTTAAATGTTCCAGGCATTTCCATGTTTTGTTATAACACTTAATCATGCTTAAAATAATTGGTACTATGCTGCTATGTTGTAAGATCTAAACATTGGAAGAATAGACAGCTCCCATCAAGTATATCATAGACACTCTGTAAGAGTACTTACAATACCCCATGCAGAGGCAAGGGTGTTTAGGATTTCCTTCATCAAGAATAAAAGATGTGTGAACTTCTCATCCTCGTAGTCAAAGCGTTCTCCAAATACAATAGAGCAAATGACATTTGAGACTGCCAAACGTAGCAAATCCGTTGGATCAAACAAGTTTTCTAAGGGAAAATACATCAGTATTCAAGTTAAAAGATTTACAGCTTACAATATAGAGAACCTATGAGGCAATGATGCTTAAAGGAGAACTATGGGGTCAGGGCTTTTCCCCATAGTTCCCCTAAGGGTCACGGGAGAACACAAACTAGCGTTCTCCCGTGACCCAAAGCTCAGTATACCGCGAGCAACAGCTCGCGGTATACTGAGACTGCCGCAGCTGGAACGGATCCCGACATTGCTGTCGAGATCCACCTGGCTGCGGGATTGACAGCGGGCTCTGCCTATCCAGAGGCAGAGCCAGCTTTGCCCGCCCCCTCCCCCGTCCGTTCCGCCAGTCAGCACTGGAGGATCGGACAGGGGAGGGGGGAATCCCTGCACGGAGCCGTGAGTGACAGTCACGGCTCTCTGCAGGGATAGATCGAGAAGTGAGCGAGCGACGGTATGTGTTCGCTCACTTCCCGATCTACTGAGCCGACCTGTGACAGTTTCATTGTCACAGGTTGGCTCAGATTATGAGGCTGAGTGAAAATCACTCGCCTCATAATTCTCCTTTAATCATCAAAGTCTCTGAAATAATTTTCAGTGTTGCCTTTGCCAACCAACCAACCAACTGACCGACCTCCTGTCCTTGCTAAAAATTGAAGGGAATTTGATTGGCCATCTTGATACATTGAGATACATTTATTACACATTCACTGTCTAACAATCTTCGGGTCTACAGAGAAAATGACTTGTGATTTTGTTTAAGGGAAAGATGGGGATGGGGCAGGAACTTAGCCTATGCCAGATATACCACAATATCACCATACTTAGAACATTTAGCCATCAATAATACCTTTCGGTGTAATATGTATAATCTCCTCAAAGAAGTTTTTCAGTTCAAAACATTTCCTTTCACTTCCCCACTGCTCCATTTAGCTGAAGTGAGAAAGATAACTTTTATAAGCTCTAAGTCTCTCTAGTCTGAGCTCACAAAGGGCTTAAGACCCTGGGCCAATCAACAAGCACCAGCACTGTCACTGGGGTGGATGGGATATGAGTTGCATGCTCCTCCATACCCAGAGGTACTAGATATTTTCTTTGATTGTCACTGATTGGAATGGTAGAGAAGTGACGGAAATGTAAGTATGTGCTACTGGGGACAGGGGGCAATAAAAGTGAACCTCTTGCTTTGCCCCCACATGGGCATAGCACAGGTTTGCTTGGCTTATTCCTAAAAGTGAGAAAAAGTCCAAAAATCTGCTCTTTTATCACTGCAGATGGAAACCAAGCTCAGTAGACATGTGCACTGCCAAAAAAATCGTTTAGTTTCGTTTTGTTTTAAATTCGGATTTGTGTTATTTCGTTTTTCGGGATTCGGGTGTGAAAGTCAATTCGGATTCGGAATTCTGATTCGGACAAAATTCGGTAGCGGTAGTTCGAACGTTCGTTTCGTTTTCTGTTCTTATTCGTTTCTTATTCGTTTCGTTCGTTCGTTTGCAGCAAAGTGACATTTGAGGGGGAATTTTTTTTTTTCTCCTTCTCTAATGTCACTTTGCTCCAACGAACGAAATGAATAAGAACAGAAAACGAAACGAACATTCGAACTACCGCTACCGAATTTCGAAAATGGAAATTCGGATTCGTTTGCATTCATTATGTCTGTAATTCGGATACATCCGAATGTCCGAATTTCCGAAAATGCGTCCGAATTTCGATTCGGAACGAAACGAATCGCACATGTCTAAAGCTCAGTATCTTTTCTAATACAGCAGGTATATGTAATCAGCAGGCTGCAGAATGAGGTATAGAATCTTGCAATACATGCACATTTTCTCATGTTTTATCCCTAAACCACTGACATTACAAGCCTGCTGATCTGCCAGAAATCCAGTAAATCTTGCTGGAACTGAAAGCATAATACCTCTGCTACAATGACATTACAAGCAGCGCTGCCAGCCCTGCCTGGGATTCCTTCGGCTGGATGACAGAACATAAGTGGGAGGTGTTCAGTAGTCCAGCAGGGGAAGGCTTAGACAGAGTGGACAACACTGTTTGGGATATTACTGCAGCAAAGTCAGCATTTTAGTGTTTTTTTCTGTATTTGCAGCTCTCTTTAAAGAGATGAAACATGGGAAAAGTAAACATAAGGAAGTTTAAAGCAAAATAATTTAAATGTTTATGGTAACACTTAAGAGCTACTTTTACTGAGTCCTGTTAGCCTAATCAACACTTGAAACATTTCTTACAACACTTAGACTGGATATATGTTTTGTAGAAAATATCACTTGTCAGTCATTTTGAAAAATTTCAATCACTGCACTTAAATGGCTACATAACTATAGAAACACAATAGGCAGGCATCTGTAACAATACTTGCTAAATTATTGTAATGTATATGCAGTATATAACGGTTCTTGTTTAATTTTCCAAAATACATAAATTTGCCTATTAATATACAGCATATTTGGATTTATTCTTTTAAATGAATTTTCCCTATATGTTCCCTAAGATCATAAACACTGGAAATGCCCTTGAAATGTTATTGCGTTCTCTTCAATTAGCATAAAATGTAATTAAAAATCTTCACCAACCTCCATTTTTCCTGAATTCCTCTACCAGGTAATGGGCCTCTTCCTGGGTCCGCTCTGCAAGTCCTTTCTTTCCCATGCCAAAATTCCTCAGAGTGGTCAGAGAGAATCGGCGGATCTGTTGCCAGCGTTCACCATTACTTAGTACAATTCCTATAGAGGAAATAATTTGTTAATAATGTAACCAATGAGGGTTAAAGTGGACCTGTACTCAAATGTTAACATAAAGTTGTGTCATGCTGAGAAGGATAAATAAAGAGTAAGAAAAGAACTGAAATATTTATCTTCCTTAGAGTCAATGGTAATCCAGTTGAAGATGTGGGTGGGCAAACTCTTCACATGACCAAGTGTCCAGGTCTTCAGATGTGGCCAGCACTTAGAAAAGCCTACAGCACCATTTATTTCAGGAAAGATAAGTATTTAGTAAATATCTGTGATATATCTATTTGTGTTCTTTCTCAGATCCCAACAATACTCTGCTTGACAATAACTACAATTCATTTTAAGGGTCAGCCTACCAAAAGCTGATATTACAGTTTTTTGTAGATGTTCGAAAGTTTAACCATCTGAGTCTATTTCTTAGCATTCTCAGACTCTTCTGGTGTTTGACACTAAACTCAAAATCATAAGTTAAATCTCAAAAATGTATTACAGTACCTTCATTATTAACAAAAATGTATCTTATGTGTGTATCACTCGGTTGTAGATCCTCAAATCATCTCTGAATTGGTGCTGACACTGTCTTTCCTTCTGGAGGGTGGGGACTTTTTTTCTCTATGGTCCCTGTGTGTGTTGTAAAGTAGTCACCGCTCCAAGCTCACTCCCGTGATAAGGCTATCACATCAATACAAATTAGCTAACTAAACATGAGATTGTAGTCCATCATGGGAGTGAGCTGGTAGTTGTGGCTACTATTTTACAACACACACAGGGACCATGGGGAACAAAAGTAGCCACCTTCCGGGACCTCGTCCAGTCCTGCCCCAGCCAGGTAAGACATCCCCCGAAAATAAGACCTGGTGTCTTATTTCGTGCAAAAAAATAAATAAGACAATGTCTTATTTTCGGGGAAACACGGTAGTTACATAGTATTTAAGGTTGAATAAAGAAACAGATCCATCAAGCTCAACCTTTGTGTGTCTGTGTGTGACTGTGCATGTGTGTGTGTACATGAGTCCCTGTGTGAGCTAGTTTTTAAGAGTCCCTGTACCCCTGTATGTTATGGTCTCTGAGGAAGGTATCTGAATGCTTTTTGAATGATTCAATACTCTCTGCTGATATCATTGCTTGTGGCAGCGAGTTCCAACATTTAACCTCTCTAGCTGAAAAGAAGCCCCTATGCCCTTTGTGGTTAAATCTTTTCTCCACCAATTTTAGGTGGTGGCCTCTAGTCTTTGTTATGGAGGTTACTGTAGATAGTTTATTGCTGATGTTGCCCTTACCACCAAACATTTTGTAGATCAAAATCATGTCCTCTCTTTAATTGCCTCACGTCCAGCATGAACAAGTTTAAATTTAGCAACCTTGTCTCATAGCTTTGGTCCTCCAGCCCCTTAATTATTCAAGTTGCCCTTCTCTGGACTCTATCCAGCTCCAGGACATCCTTCCTGTGTATTGGTGACCAAAACTGAACCACATACTCTAGATGAGGCCGAACCAGTGATCTATAAAGTGGCAAAATGATTGCTTTATCTCTTCCGAACATTCCCTTTTTAATACAAGACTGTACTCTAGTGTTTTTCTTTTTAAGCAATCACTTCTCTTAATGCTGCACACATGCAACTGCTCTCTTGGTCTTAATCTCAGTTATGTTTGTATGTCATTGACTTTATTGCGTGTAACTCACCATAATCTTTGAAAATTGCCTCAGCAAAGAAAGTATTTCCTCTTGCACTGAAGATGTCACTGTTATCCAGTAAGGCTTCCTTGACACATTCATAGCCAACCAAGTACACCATTGGTACATTGCCTATGTAGATGGTGAGCACAGGTCCATACTTCTCACTCAGCTAAAAAAGAATAAAGTTGTGTTATATATTGGAGGATTGCTGTTTGGCTTTGTCATAAAACTTAACGTCCAAACTGAGCTTTCAGTTTAAATCAGCTAAATACGGCCGTGCATGGCAAACAATCAGCTTTTATCTTTCATTTTCAAAACTTAACAGAACAAGCCCTCTGTAGATGCTAATTGGTTACTATGCAAAGTTGCTCCAGATTCTGTTTGCACCAGTTAGTAAATTCCCCTCATAGAGGGGAATTTATGAAAACTGGAGCAGACAAAAACTGGAGCAGATAAAAACTGGAGCAGCCGTGCACGGCAAACAATCAGCCTCTCCATTTCATTTTCAAATCTTAACTGAACAAACTGAAGAGAGAAGCTGATTGGTTGCCATGCACAGCTGCTCCAGTTATTGTCTGCTCCAGTTTCCATAAATTCCCCTCACAGTGTTTTATCTGTAAAGAGAACCAGTTACTTTTTTTTTTTTTGGTTTTCCTTAATGCTGAACTTCAGGGAAGTAGCCTAACACCTAGTTAAAATATTCATATTTAAACTGTCTTATATGCTAAAAGATTTGTCATTCTGTCTTGCCACTTTTGTGATTCATACACACTCACTGTTACGAGTTAAGATTTAAATGGTCTCACCTCCCCACCCGTAGCCTGTTGATTGGACAATGAACAAGCAGAAACACACTAAGAGGGTTATTCACAAAGCTGGCCGAAGGATCAGCTCCGGCTGATCCTTTGGCTAGCTTCGGCCGCCTGAGCCCTTCAGTTCAGTAGAACCGAAGGGCTGCTGTACGGGCTATTCACTATAGCCCATACAGCTCCCGAAGCTGGCACATATAGCAGAGTGTGAATGGCTTCTAGAGCTGCTTTTTCCCCTCCCAGTCTGAGTGCCACTGTGCAAGGGGTGAAAGAGCTTATAATAAGACATATTCTGCTTTCAATGTCAGTATTGTATTTTTAAAATAACTCATTGCATTTATACATACAGCTGCATTAACTGTGTTATTTTTACATCTGCTTGGAATTCAGCCTTAAAGCTGAACTCCGCTTGGAATTCAGCCTTAAAGCTGAACTCCGGGGAAACCAAATGTTCTAAATATTAGAGTCCTGTGTATTCTTCATTGGAGTTTGTGCTTTGTCTATTTATTTCAGACCTGTACAGTAGTCCAGTGCATAACTCTCCCGTATAGTAATCCAGTGCAAAACCTCAGTGCAGGAGCTTCCTGTAATAAAGATTTTTCACTTAAGATCTCGCTCCTTGTGGAGATTGACTGGTCTTGTATCCACCCTCGTTCTGCAGTGGATAGGGCCTGCTGAGTCCCTCCCACAGCTCTGTTCCCTGCACAGGCCATGTGCAGCACAGTGATGATGTCACTGCTGCATTTCAAATTAATTTCTGGGTTTGCAAAGACATTTGGTGCACACAAAGTTGATTTATATCCTTTGTGGCTATTGAGATAGATTGGCTATTTAAATGAACATTTTTGTTCCCCAGAGCTCAGCTTTAAGTGTTCTTCATTACTCACCTTTATTAAAGACTGGGGCATCTCTGTGGTGCTCACATGCAGAACAGTGCCTAACAGGGGCAGCGTGGGTGGCCCAGGGGGCAGATTTCTGCTCCTCAGCTTCTTCTTCCATGAGAAAAAATATACAACAAGACTGATGCAGACAGCCAGGAAAATAGAGCTTGTTACGCCCAACTCCATTTTCCCTCTACACAAACAGGAAATATTATGTAGGGAACTGCAGCCACGCTTATATATACACATCCTGTCACAGCTCGTAGGGTGTGTTTTCGTATAGATTGCCATATTTGAACATGTGAGTTCAAAGTACAACTTTTGTACAGCCTGCATAAATCTGTGTGACATCATGAATTCGGTTATGTCTGACCTGGTTTATTTACACAAGTTTATGGGCAGCGATAGCTGTAGGATGGCTATCATTCGAAATGCAATCCATTTAAGGACAGCTTTCCTTTTATGTCATGCAGGTCACAAACACAGCTGCAATAGATAAAGTAAAGCACAGTATATTCACAAAAACTAAATAATGCACCAAGAATTCATCTTGTATTAATAACTTGTATTTTTTAGCAAGTGTCAAACAAATATACTCATTAGGACTGACAATCTTTTTTGCCAAAGAAATGTAACATGGATTGCAATGTCTGTATATAAAAATACAGTATTTACATATTTGTTTTAGTTATTCATCATGATTTCTGAAATATTTTTAGAGAGAACATTGAACCAATCACCCCAGTCGTCCTACCAAAGGCAATTACATTTAAATTTTCCTACCACAGGCATACATAAGTTATACAATATATAATTCTTTAATAAAGCAAACCTGTCCCATTTTTTTTCCATAACGAAGGCAGTAAATACTGACCTTTTGTGGTGCCCACGCCTTTAACATCTGTTCCTGTCAATAGGATTGGTTCCCCAAAATCTACAGAGAAATCAACACTTCTGGGAGTGTTGAACGCTGTGGTTCTTTGCTTCGATGAGATTGAATGATAGAAGTCATTACAACTTCTCTTTATTAACTATTGTAAGTGAATTACCACTTAGCTTAGTGAATGAGGTGATGGTGTGCTTATTTCTGCTGTTCCAATCATCTGCAAGCAAACCTTTTTCTTGCACATGATTGGGTGTTTCACTTGGCTTCACCTTATTCACTGAAATAAATGAAAATTGACTTTGCAAAGTAAACATGTACAGGTAATAAACTCCACTTTTGTTTCCATTTTCTTCTCTAGCGTGACATAATTAACATTGTAAAATGCCCCAATTCTTTAGTAAATCAACAATACTATAGTCCAATTTTCTGTAACATTGTTTATTTTGATCATAATATGTAGTGATTATCCAGCTGCTGTTAAAGGCAGTGTATAGAAACAATGTTCAACTTTTTGCTAAGAGTTAAAAAAGAAAAGAAAAAAAACTTTTTTTACATTTCACATTTGCGTGTGACTATTTGATATTTGCACCATTGCGGCCAGCAGGTGGCTCATTCAAATGAATAGCCTTTGAAATAGCCTTTGAATGAGAGTTTGTTCTGATGTGTAGCCCTATTTACAACACACAGCTCAATACTTTGTTGGAGCTCCCCATTCCCCACTCTTTGTGTAAAGATCAATTTTTAGGGGTCTATTCACTAAGCTGCCGTAGGCAGCCGAGTGAACAACCGACCTGAAGCGAAGTGAGCCGAACGCTGAAATCCGCCGTACATCGGGTGGCTGCGCTTGGTTTCGGAAGTGCAGAAGGAGTTCGACTCATCCAATCCAACATCTGGATTGGCTAAGATGAACCTCCGCCCCATTACACTGAGTTCTTCAGACAGGATACCTAAAGAAGCTATATGTGTATTTTTGCATATTCACCGATCTGTTCTCTCTGTGTCTGCCCCAAGATTGTCAGTTAAACCCTGATATGCTGTTTGATGTGCACGTATATGTCATAAATGTATGTATATGTATACTTTCATTTCAATGTTACATTCTTTTCATTTGAAAATGTTAAAAACCAATAAAATATTTTGAAAAGTAAAAAAAAAAAAAATCGAATCTCTGTTCTTGGTGCTGTCTCAAAATGTTGTCATGATCTCACTGCCTTGTGTCTCTATATTTAGGCCTATGCTTGTTGTCTTGACAATATGCTGCCAGTGGCCAGTTTGTCCAAGACCTGAGGTGCTGAGCCTAACAAGCCACCTGGTATTCAACAGTTCAACCCACAAAAATCTTACTGTCGCTGTCTCGCTGTTAGAATGCCTTAATGTGCTATGGCAGCTTCAAATCCTTGAGTTTACTTGCTGTTCCCTTAATAATGACATATGACTTTACCAGCTCTAATATCACATTGTACAATTGCACATTATGGTCAAGCAAGATGAGAAAAAGCGTACACATGTATTAATAAAGGATTTATTTAAAAAGGCTCTGCTATCTGGGCTCCACATATAGCTCATATGAACGAGGTAAAACACCATTTTTTCCAGGTTCTGGAGTTATTTCAATATCTTCAGGAGCTTTGTTTGTTTTTATTAATAACGTTTGCAGTATGGTAGTAAGGATAAGGAAGATCTCCATTCGAGCCAGACCCTCTCCGAGACAACTTCTCTTCCCTGTGAAAAATAAATGATTTAAATATTAACATTCAAAATAAAATGTAAAGCTCAGATTTATATGTAGGTACCAGGGTGTAAGACATGTGGGAATAGCACACAAAGTATTTGTAAACATAAAGGGATTTTTTCTGAAACTGCATTAGTGGCATAATGGAGTATACACAAATGTTACCATAAAGCAATGTTTGCAGTCTTACTAGGATTTAACCATTAGGTGTAATACAAGGGCTGAAGTTCTTAGATTTTCTGGAAAAAAAGTGTTGCTCCATTATCCTTACATTGCTGATTACAAGCCTTGAGGTATGATGGAGTCCAGGCCAGTGGTTTTTTCCCTTCAGCAGAGATCACAAGGCCCTGTGGCTAGGCCATTAAATATGTGAGCAGTGCTGAAAAGAACCATGAAGACCATTTTATCCAGGAAAGCTAGAAATTGCATACCTTCTGTCCCTTATTTACCCATTCCTACAATAATTCTAAAGGAAGAGTGTCATAAAAATGGTGAATGAAGTTGGGTCCCCAGAAAAAGTGCAATTTCACAGAGTACTGTGGAGTAGATAAAGTGTGCACTGAACAGTGAGCTTACATACAGAGAAGGGTCTTGGAAGCCCTTCAGTTTAAAAAAAAAAAAAAGAATATTCGTAGCACTAAGTTTAAAGAGCCCAAAAGTGTTTGTTCCAATAAAATATTGCTAAAAAAGGTAGTCCACTTAAAGTGACACTAAACTCAGGAGTTAAATCTTAAATATGCTTTCAAGTGTCCTAAAATGCTACAAAAATATGGCTTATTTGTGTATCACTCTGCTGTAGATCCTCAAAAAGAAATCCTATCTGAATTGATACTGACACGGTCCTTCCTTCTGGGGGGTGGCTACTTTTGTTCCCCATGGTCCCTGTGTGTATTGTAAAGTAGCCACCGTTCCAAGCTCACTCCCATGATGGACTACAATCTCACTTTTAGTTTATTCATTTGTATTGAGATTGTAGTCCATCACGGGAGTGAGCATGGAGCGCTGGCTACTTTACAACACACTAGGACCATGGGGAACGAAAGAAGCCCCCCTCCAGAAGTAAGGACAGTGTCAGCACAATTTTAGAGACTATTTGAGGATCTACAGCTGAGTGATACACAAATAAGCCACATTGTTGTTAATAGTTAGAGCACTTGAATGCATTTTTGAGCTTTAATTTTGAGTTTAGTGTCACTTTATATCTGCAAACATAACCAATGCATTTTGGGGGTCTAAGAATGCCCCCTTCTTTTTTATATTAAAGATAACTGTGTGCTTGGGAGTAAGCAAATAATAATATTAAAGCTACATTCCACATTCATCAGCAGTTGTTTTTGGCAGATATTTGCAGCAATATTGGTCATTATCTTTTCGATACCTATAGAAAATGGTAGAAAGGCATCATTGTTCTTGAAGCACCCATTTTCATCCAGAAAGTGTCCAGGGTCAAACTCTTCTGGGTGCTTAAAATACTTGGAGTCCTTGAGAACAGAAGTCAGCATGGGGGAAATGATTGTACCCTGAAACAGAACATCCAAACTTTAGTAGTTGCTTTTCTTGTTAGGAAAATTAGTGGAGATTTATAAGGAATTGTGAAAGGGTTGTTATTGCTAAATTCAGGATTTGTTTACCCAATATCTGCCAAATTCATAACTGCATTTTTTTTCCACAAAACAGACTGGCCCTGGATTGCCAGCAATAAAGTAAATTAATATAGGACTCCACTGAACCCCTAACTAGGTCACTACCTATGCTCCAGCTACCATTTCGTTAATAAGGTATTTTCCCATGTTTGAATTTGGTTAAAGTCTAAATACTGGCAATAATATTGTTAATGAAATCACACACCCGTACAGTGCACCATCGTATTAAATACAGGATGCCTATTGGGTAGTTCTGTTTACCAGAGATACGCCCCATGACGTTTTATTGAAATGGCTATTATTGCAAAAGACCCCTTTAACAGTTCCACTATAAGCAAAATAGCTGCATAAGCAGATTCACTGCTGGCTGCAGATTTGGAAATAGGCGGATAAGTTCACTCATCCCTGCGCATAAGTATGAAAACAGTATTGTGCTCCTCTCACAACTGATAATAAACCACAAAACACAAAACGAAAACAAAATCCCCCTCACTGTCTTTTATCTGATGAATCTGATAAGGTGGGCATATTGGCAAGCACAGATGGACAGATCTGTTAGAAATTGAGAAAAATTAGTAATTCATCCATACTAATCATAATTACTGCTACATCACAACCATATGTAAATGTTACATTTAAACTCCAGGATAAGCAAATATTATATACTAAAAGAGTCATGTGTATTCTTCCTTGAATCTTGGTGAGCTTTGTGTATTTCTTCTAGGTCTGTGTAGAAAATTCAGTGTGAAACTGATTTTGTGCAGGAGCTTCCTATAATAAAGGCCAGTCACTGTTGCTCTCTCTCCTTGTGCAGGGTGGCTGGTCTTGTATCCACCTCCTCCTCTTCTATTTTTCTACAGGTAGGCTGTAGTGGGTGGAGTCTGCTGGGTCCACCCACAGCTCTGCTCTCTGCACAGGCTATGTA